CTTTCAGTCTTAGGAAATCGAATGATATTTTTTGGGTCACCTTATATAATTTTTATTAAAATGACAAAGGTATCAGGTTTATTCAAATTATCATTTTGAATACTTAGCTTACAAAAAATATATAACTTCTAAATTTTATCTAATGCCAAAAGTGTTTATAATAAATAATTTTCCAATTTGAAACGTCTATTAAAACAAAAAATTGTATTTACCGATTGGAGGTAATTAAAGTCAATTAATATTAATGAACTGTTAAAAAGGTGTAATATTATTAATTTTATATATTTCAATATCATATTTAACTGGATTCTGATTACGTTGGAGTGTCAGATGTCATATACTGATTAATGCTTTAATAGGCAATAATATCCTGGCAACGGTAATAATTATCTCATTAGCAATATGAAAATTAGATAATTATTCTTATAATTGATCCCGTACCTTTAATTACTCTCGTTATTACATGCATTTTTGACATGCTATACTATCCGTACGTTTTTCTGATATGTTCTGATAAATGGAAGGGTAATTTTTAATCAATAATAAAAATTAATTAACCTAAAAAAACGATGGTAAACAAATTTTTTTAAACAATAATTTAAAATTCGGAGAATATCTATACACTTCGAGGAATGATTTGAGATCTCGTTTATATACAGGGTGCACCAGTTTATATCGTCGCGATTATACCAGCCGATAATTTTAATTTCTTTTTAATGTACAGGGTGTCATAAAATACTTTTTTATTAATATCTAAAAAAGACTTTGACCGATTTTATTGAAATTTTTACAGTTTTGGACATATTACAGTTGATCTAGCAGTTCTGGATGTATGCTCAAAGAGCGCTTAGAGTCGTTGTCGGCAAAAAAATATCGCAAAGTAGAATTTTAATTTTTCAGCTATTCGATTGTTGTCAGTTTCGTTGTCTTGTCTTGCATTTGTAGTTTCTGATGTTGCGAACAAATGGTCTAGCAAAATATACGGATTCACGCATTCACGTAAGGTTTTGTTCACAATTATTGGATTAAAAAGTTTAAAAGCGAATTATAAACCAAAAAACGTTTGAAATGAGTGGAAATCGGTGATCAAATGATTTCCCCTGTCTTAAAAATCTTCGAGTACTCTGAAGATCGTATTCTAACACTTGCTATTCATTTATTGCCAACAGAACGGTAACTTCACCTTCGTCCATGTCTTGAACTATTATTTAAACGTTTGTTAGGATTTTAGGTAAAGATTCAACTCTTCAACAATTATAAGTCAAAAGTTTTGCTGTTTTGCTTCGAATTACACCTATAACACCTTATAAAACTATATTTACACAAATAGACAACCTGACTAACAACTAATACAGAATGTGACAGAAGAGTCGACAGACGACATAACCTTAAAAGATGATTTTCATACGAAATATCCAACATCGACATGGTAAAATGCATGTGAACTTGTCACACAATCTTTCATGTGAAGTTAAACACTCGTCGATTTGCCAAGAATACCATTTGTGCAAGTTTCATGTGAATTATCCAACGAGTGAACAATTCACACAGCTCGAGAATTGGGGCCCGGTTTTTCTAATGAAGTGACTGGATTTGTTTTAAGAAGACCAGACAGCCACCCTCAAAATGATACATTCTGCCATTTTGTCCCAACAATAGATATTTCATGTTGCCCTTAACTCTGAGAATTTTATAAACACAGCTTGATTTTGCATGTATAAGGTCTAAATGTGTAAATACTTATATGACATGAACATTAATCAAAATGACGACTAATATGACTGGCTAATAATTTAACAATTTAAAAAATCCTAATCAAATTAATTCTTACTTTGCCAAATTTGTTCGTAATGTGACTAATAACTGCGATAAAAAGATTTAATATTATCATAGTTGCCTATTTAATGAAAGTTTTAACTTTTCTTTTTCATTGGTCACTATTAATGAAGTGAATAAAATATTAAATGGGATAAAAAGTAACGCCTGTGGTGCTGATAATATTACATCTAATAGGCTCAAATATTATAGTTCTTCCATCGATAAATATTTAACAAATGTCATTAATTGTTGTATTGAGGTATCTTACTTTCCAAATGACTGGAAGATTGCAATTGGGAAACCATTGCTTGAATGTAAAGATCCTCAAAGTTTTTCAAATCTTAGGGTAATCAGTATATTACCATCACTTTCTAAAATTTTTAAGCGCATTATCTATAACCAAATGTGTTCTTATTTTACCTCCAATAATTTAATTCCCGATAAACAAAGTGGCTTTAGGCGTGATTTCTCTACTGGAACAGCATTATCAGTTGTTACTGATGATATATTTCACAGCTCTAGATAAAGGTCTTAACTCGGCTTTAGTTTTATTAGATTTTTCTAAAGCTTTCGATACTATTAATCATGAATTTATTTGTGCTAAACTGAAATACTTTGGTTTCTCTAATAAATCTTTGTTTCTCATATGGTTTTATTTACTGGGTAGGTCACAAAAATAAATGTTGAAGAAAAAACCTCTACTAAAAATTGACATTTTATCTGAAGTTCCACAGGGGTCAATATTAGGACCTCTCTTATTCATTATTTATACTATTAATGTTATTAATTCAAATGATAAGTGCAGTGTTCAAGCTTGTGCTGACGATACACAAGAGTATTTACATTTCAGTCGCTGTAATGTTAATGGTGCAGCTCAAATACTTAGTTCTCGACTTCAAACTATTCAGGAATTATCAGTCGAGCACGATTTAAAATTAAATTCTAACAAATCTAAACTATTATGTTTTGGTAGTAACAAGGAATTTCCCAAGGTTAATTTCAAAATCCATATATCTAATGAACTGTGAGAAATAGAATATAATGCTAGAGATTTAAGTATTATTATTGATAATGATTTTCGTTTTTGCGATCATATTAAAAATTTTATAAGAAAGTCTTATACTTCCCTAAGATTATTATACAGTAACCGCCATTTTCTTAATATTAGGTTGAAAACTCTACTCTGCGAGACACTTGTACTCAGTAACTTTAATTATTGTGACTATATTTTTTTGCCTTGTTTTTTACAGCGTGGAAAAAGAAGGATCCAGGTTTTACAAAATACTTGTTGTAGATTCATATTTTCTATTAAAAGAAAAGAACATATTTTGCATAAACTTGTTGAATGTTTTAAACTACATTTAGGAAATGTTGTGCATAAAATAATCTATCAGTAGAAACCTTTAATATTAAAAAATAAATTAATCCCTCACTCCTTTATCCACAGTAGAAATAGTCGTTATAGCAATAAATTCTCTATACCTAAATATCGTATATAGCCATGTTTCAGAAATCTTTTACTTACAATGCTATAAAATTATATAACTCTTTGCCAGATGCATTTAAAGTTTTTAATAATAACAAATTTAAATATAAATATAAGAACTTTTTGATAAACACAAAATCTTTTTTTACATTGCTGATTTGCCCATGTTATTTGATATTTAATAAGTGATATGTTTTAATAGGGGGACTATTTTTTCTATTTTTTCTTTGTTACTTTATTCTATAAATATTATTTGATAATTATTATTACTTTTTGTCATTCTTATTTAATTATTCTCTTTTGTGTACAAACTATTATTTTATAGATTATTACTTTTTACTTTCCTATCTGTATACAGATATAAGGAAAGTATAGGAATCATGATTTTTTTCGACCTCCGGTTTTCGACGGATTTTTACGTTTTGAGGTCCCCTGAATCCGTTTTGACTATTTCTGCGATGATGTCTGGTGTGTGTGTGTGCGCGCGCGTGCGTGAGTGTGTGTGTGTGTGTGTGTGTGTGTGTGTGTGTGTGTGTGTGTGTGTGTGTGTGTGTGTGTGTGTGTGTGTGTGTGTGTGTGTGTGTGTCTGTGTGTGTGTCTCTATGTCGCATAACTCATGAACCGATACACAGAAAAACACCAAATTTTAAACTTAAGCTTTATTCCAGCATCAAATGAACTGATTAGATTTTGGAACATCTGGGGGGTACTTTATGAGTGGTCATTTTTATATTTTATGGAATATATCTATAATTTTTGTTTTATGTCAAAATTTCCTGAAATGGTCCGTATTCGAGAAATTTGACAAAATGTGCAAAATTCTGATTTTTATGATTTTATGATTTTATGATATCGATCTCTATAATTTTTGTTTATACATGATTTTTCTAAAATGGACCGTAATGGAAAAGTGCTAAATTTAAATTTTTCAGTATTTTCGTTTTCAATGAATATCTATAGAAAAATGTTTCGAGGTAGATGTATGTGGACAATGTATATATTTAGTTTATCCTCTAAACATTTATAGAGATGCTGCAATAGGTTGTACAAAATAACCGGAAAAAGTCTATAATAACTAGATAGGAAAGTCATGTGTTGGACACATCAGATTTTTTATATTGTTGCATGCCTGTTGTGGTTGAGTAGGAGTAGCTTCAGCTAGACTTCGCCACAGCTGGCATATGTAATTTAATTTATAACTGTTTTTTTTGTTAAATATTTTGAAATAAATTTGTTTATTATTATTATTATTATTATTAATAATAATAATAAATATACTTAAAGATATTTACAAAATTTCACTTTATCCAATTCAAAAATATTGTAAAATTGTAAAATTCACTCACCACACACAATTTTGTTAGTATCAGAACGGTGTGATCGTGTATGAATGCAGCAATATACACTAACTCCCACAGCTGGGAACGGTTAAAAGCGCCTAATTCAAATATAGTCAGTGTTTCATTTTACCCAAGTATGCCATTTTATGCAGAACTCCTCTATCTATTCTAGCAGATATCTGTGGTTTGCCCAAAACAATACATTTTTCGGAATTATTGTAAGTCGTCTACATAATATCGAGTGAATGTTCAGATCAGTGGCTTGAGATTTTAGAATTTCGCAATATATTGATCTAGTCAAGAATTTAAATTTTTATATATTACCTATCTAACCCTCATTCTTTTTTTTTTTGCAGAAAAATTCGTAGACACTTCACCCTCAGTACCTTCAACGCCGGAACTAATTGGCTTAGACTGTACTATAGTGAGTGCGGACAATGAAAGCAGTGGTCGGGATTCTCCAGTCGACGTTTCGTCTACTTCAGAATCGGGAGTGGCGTCTCAATCGCAATCGAGCGGTAGGAGGTCGAGATCACCAGCTCGGAACCCTCTCCTTCAAGAAAAATGCACCAGCGAGGACTTGAAGAATGTTACATGTCACTTAGAGACCAAAGAACTCTGGGACAAGTTTAACGATTTAGGGACTGAGATGATTATTACAAAGACTGGAAGGTAAATTGATTTCTGTTGTTTTTTATTGCGTAACTACATTTATGGAAAATTCAAATCAAGCCAATATCTGAAATTCTTACAAAAATAGTATTTGGGGAATTTGCAGAGTTCGAGATTTGCTGGAAAAGTAATAAGAATAATTATTATATACATTTTTTATTTATAATTCAAAGTAGTTTCCTCCCAACCGGTCGTTGCGAACTGTATATTTATCACATTATCAATAGCTCCGTTGAGATGGCTTTTCAAATTGAGAAAAATAAAGAACTCACAACAGGATAGATTATAACTGTAGGGTAGGGTTGCCATTCGTCCCGATACACCAGGACATTTCCAGGTTTGGAACTTCTGTTCCAGTGGTCCCTGTTGATCTATCAAATGTCCCGGCATATATAAATATTGGGACCATTTGATTTTATTAGGTTTGTGTCGATACACGATAAGATCATCCTGTGTAAAGTCCAGTCAAACTGGACCCATATTTGTGGACAGTCACAGGCTTGTTTCCTTTAGTCATTTAGTGGTCTGAAGAAGGCTATTGCCTTCATGTAGAAACGGTCGAAAGCATCATTCAATGCAAATTCAATTTCAAAATCACATGCATGGAATTTCAAAAGTACGTTATGGGTAAACCGGATTTGCTAAAACAGGTAAAGATCTCAAAAATATAAAAAAAAATGATACAGAGACACATTGTTCTGATACTACACTAAGTCACGCCACTAAGACCACTGGCAGACCGAAATAGAGTAAAACTATTTTGGGTGCCAGGTCACCAAGGGATCGAAGGCAGCGAAAAGGCTGACGAACTTGCAAAAAAAGGGTCAGAAGAAACACCGGAACCAGACACAAACCCAGGAGTACCAAAAAGTACAGTCCGGGGTTTCATAAACGACTGGATTCGGGAACAACATTAACTATTGGGGAAGCACCCCAAAACAGGCACATGGAAAAGCCTTCATAGGCAGACCATGTCCCGAATATGAATAGGAACCAGTTAAAAGTGATCACAGGGTTCATGACTGGGCACGCCCCAGTAAAGAGACACTTGAACAAAATTGGCATGTACAATAGGGAACTCATGTGCCGACTATGTCACAAGAAACCAGAAACAGCCAACACATACTGTGCGAATGCAAAGCTCTAGATCGCAAAAGACAGGCTCTTTTTGGACAACCCCAGGTTGATCCAACAACGTATAGAACCCACTCACCCAAGGATCTGTACAAACTTGTACAAGGTACAAAGGTGACAGAGTGGGTGCCATGAACTAACATGGGAAAAAACACAATAAGCCAATAAGCTTCAGTGTTATTCGGAGATATAGTCAGACGAGCCCAGGAGAAAAAAAGCCACGCTATATGACGAAACCTCAGTAGGATCTGGTACCGTATATTTTTGTTGTATAATAGACCTATTTAATTCTACTTCCAAAATCATCAAAATTTGTTGGTGTTATGTTTCCTATCCCGAATTCCAGTTACATATCCCCAAATGTCATTATATTTTTGCATTTGGAAACAGTGTGCACAAATAATGCACCTGACGCATCCATCGTGTCGGATGGAGTGGCATAGCCAGGTGTCAGAAAACATTTCTTGTTCTTAAAAGTGTTTTAGATAATTATTCGAAGTAAAATTAGTCTTATAGTGTTAAATGTATGGTACATTTGTAGCAATAATTGAAGGTCTTTTATTCTACATTTTTAGTATGAAAAACTTCTACTATTGCTAAAAGTACTTTTTTTCTAGTTCTTCTTTTTCTTCATTCTATAGTTCTTGTTCTTCTTTTTTAAAAATTCGTATGCCTATTGTGGTATTTTTTCTTCTGCTTATTCCAAGTTTTCTATTTCTTTCGATTCTCTAAGCTCTTTATCTTCTATTCTCGCTTGTCATATTTTTGTGGTAGTACTTCTTTTCTTTTTTCTCTTCTTTCTGTTTCTTTAAATTATCTGTTGATATTCTAAATAACAATTGTTCTAATTCTGTCTTGACTGTCTCTGTACAAATCTAAGCCTATTATCTAATAATATAATTTATATTTAATACATTTCGTTGATATTTCCTATTTCCCATTCTAATTTTTTACAGGATTTAATTAAAATAAAAAATAATGTACTTTTATTCGGCTTCATTCCTAATGGGTAATAAAAAAGTAATTAAATGAATAATATACAATGATTAGTTGTAAAACAACGAATATATGTATTTTTTTGTTAATTAATCCACAAATTTAGAAAATCGTAAAATGATACACTTATAAGTTGTTTTATTGTTATTTCTTACTTAATATTCATTCATTTAATGATATATAACTGAATTGTTTTTATTTTTTCACCCAAATTTGTTATTATACCTTGTAACACTAAAGATGTTTATATCTAATTTGTTAATTTTAAGGTTATAAGCAGCTAATTTAAATTTGATTATGGTACAAAAAGAGATAAAATGTTTATTACAGATAATATAGTACTAATACCGACATGTGAACCTTTTATCTATAACAATGTGCAATTTAATAAGAAATAGGTTTTTTTCCGGTACAAAGATAATATCTGATTGTTTATATACAATATGTTAACCGATGGATCCCTCGAAATTAGGATGAGACGCTTAATTAAATCGGTCATTTTAGAAACAGTACATGTCAGTTGTAGATAATTTTTCAAAAAATAAGAAAAAGTGAAAATCTCAAAACATGGTTAAAAAATAGTTTTGTACGTTTAAAACTTGCTCTATTTTGGATATAATTCAATAATCATAATTTAGCTTTAAATATTGTATTTTTGTAATAAAAACAAAATGGCCAAAAATGTGACATGTTTTTTAAATGACCGATTCAATTATATTTGCACATGAGAAAAATAAGGAATGATAGAATGAATAAATTTCCACCACCAGGTGCTGGCGCGCTTTGTTCTACATTTGTCTAATCAATGACATAGTTTATTCTAAATCGTCACACAATAGAAATTTTTCAGAAAAAAATAATCCTTATAATCATAAAGATGATATCACAGAAATGGAATTGTCAATTAAAGAAGCCAATACAGAAATAGAAAATTTTACTGGTAATAAATCTGATCCAGCTTTTAAACGAATTAGTTCTAGATTAGTTCACTTGTCTAATAGGGCAGCTAATTTAAAAGTAGAATCTGATGAGGAAGCTATAGCTCAAAACACAATAAAAACAAAAAGAATCATGTAAGAAGCTGATTTACCAGAAAAAAACAGTAACAATTCTTCTAGTTTTAATAGATACAGTACTAGAGTTAAAACTTTTAACTCTAGTACTATATCTACAGAACAAGTTAGTTGTCCTTCATATACAAGTGTATATGTCATAGAAATAGTATAGAAAGCCGATTCCATATATCAAAAATGAAACCATAAGGAGAAAATAGTGTGTCGGAGCTCATGCGTATAACGGTGCTGGCGCGAACAGGACCGGTGCAAGTTTTTTATTGATCGAACAAATAGTTCACACGATATTTCAATAATACATTTTTAGAGATGATTCTATACAAAAAACAATTTCAAGTTAAGGTAAATATGGTTCTGACAGTCCTTATTAAGAAAGATATGGCATAAAATATGAATTAGTTAATTTTCGGCAATCATTAGTACAGTAGTCATGAGGTTTTGCTTGTTATTTTAAAAATACTTTCCAGAAAAACCACGTGCTCCGGTTTTGACTACGTTTATTATTAAACAGCGAAATGATATACAAAAACTTTAATCCACAATCTAAATTAGGTACTATCACAAGAAAATCACTGTTACAATAATGAATTACTTAACCAAAAACTAAAATACTTTTTAGGTACCTACGTAACCAGAAAGGAGCTGGACCATTTATCCTAATATTGATTTTCTCTCTCCCTACGGTAAAACTTAAAACAATAACAAATTGCCTATCTACTAGGGTCGGTAACTAAACGTATATACATAATGGGCGGATTTTGTTTATACTTAACATTACACTCGCGCATTTAAATATAACTATGCATATAAATATTTACAAATAAAGATACTTTTCCAAACAGGCAATCATTAGTACTGTAGTCACGAGATTTTGCTTGTGATTTGACATCTTATTTGATAATATCATTAGCTACAACTAAATTTCATCTGGGGAGTGCAAAATAGGGCCCAGGAATATTATGTTCGATATTTTTTTACATTTTGTCAGCCGAGACCATGAGTCGTTAGACAGAAAACCTTTCATGTTACCATTTTCAATATAAATTAAAAAATTAAAAAATAACACTACATTTATACTTGGTACATATTTTATTTTAATTTTGAACCCTTTTAAAAGGGTCTTTCAGTTCCATAATAAAAATTAGTTGCTGCTTACTAGAAACATTCTATATAGCCTAAACCAATTTATAGTTTGTTTTCGATCAATTTAATACAAAGATTTAAAGTTTTTAGTCGATGATAACATTCCACACCAGCACATTGCAAACCTATTTTATAAATAATAGGAATAAACTTGTAAATCATTAATTTGGTAGTTATCTCACTCATATGATTTTTTTGTTTATATGACTATTTCGATTTCTAAATATATTTTGGCCTTACAATACGAAGCGTTTTGTATCTACCACTTTTTTAATGAACGATGAATGTTGACAGGCGTGTACCTTTTTCGGAACAAGAGGCGTTTTAACGAAGGAAATGATTTTCGAACTATCTAGTTAGTTTTCGCAAAAATAGAAAACGTTTGAAGAAAGTTGTCAATAACAGTTTGTCGTTCATGTGTTTCATTTTGATCAGCTTTCATACTAAATTGCGTAGAATATTTTTCCGATTCAAAATCGAGATTCTCGATATTTCCACAGTTTATTTATAATACCTTCTAAACTGGATTTATCTATCATTTTATATACTTTATAATATATGTTCATGCCCTACTTTTCACTTTATTAACAATTTTTTTTAACATACTTCAAAATGGTAGGATATTCTCAATTCGTTGAAATATTTTTTTATGTA